TCCAGAAGACCAGAGGCCTCTCTGCACTCGCAGGGAGCCGTCCCATCATCGAGGCTGTGGGCACACCTTCAGCCTGGGAGAAGCAGCCCGCTGGGCCGACTGCGGCAACATCTTCCGAGATGTGGTCTGCGGCAGGGTCGGGGGTCTCCCTACTGGGGGCACTGCGGGGCAGCAAAGCATCAGAGCACCCCACCCTGGGGAGAACTGCAGACAAATGTGAGGCTACAGGGCGGACCTGGACTTGGTGGGGCAGGGGGGGGAGCGGGGATCTCACAGAGGGAGGAGGAGGCCTCAGCTGGGTGGGGGGTGGGACATCGTGGCCAAGGGCCCCTGGCGGGAGGGTGGGTGTGGGAGGACCCACGGGCGCCTAGGCTCCCAGCCTCCTCCAAGGGGCCTATGCCCCTGTGCCGTGCAAGCGTCTTAGGGCCCAGGGGCCAGGACCCACCTCCCTGCTGAGTGTTGGCAGAGGTGTAAGAAGTCCTGACTTAATGGGACCCTCCAGGCCTTGGTGATCTTCCCTGGGCCCGAGACTCTGTCTCTACCCTGCTGACTACCGCTGTGCCCCTTTCCTGCCCGGGCTCCGAGGCGTGGGACAGCCCTGCCCTTCACCCCGGCCCCATGCGCCAGGCCCGCCCTGCTCGCCCGCCCCGGCCAAGGGCTCCCCTTCTCACTCGCTTTGCTCCATCCAACTCGGCTTGGCTCATTTTGAGAACTGGGGGTGAAGGAGGGGTCATGTGGCCCCAAGGGGCCGGGGCAGCTTCTGCACTCAGGGCTAAGGCTCCCTCCTCCACACAGCTGTGCCAGAGCCCCTCCTGCTGGGGGTGGGTCACCAGAGGTCCCACGGACCCCTCAGGGGTCAGGCTTCAGACCCACTCAGTCTGCGAGTACGGCCCGAGCCCCCAGGACACAGCACAGCCCCGCGGGGAGAGCGGGCCTGTCCCTACCGCCTTCTGTCCCCACCGTGGCCTGAGCTGCCCCGCTGCCCAGCAATGGGAAAGTCTGAATCTGTTGCTATTTTCTCTCTGTTATCAGGCCCTTATCTGGTCACTGTGCCGTCCAGAGGCCAGGGTCTCTCCCTGGCAGCCCTGTGCCTCTCCTGCCCGCCAGCTGACCAGAGCCAGTGAGACAGGGGGCCAGGCCTTCCACCAGCTTGGGGGGCAGTCTTTCTTCTCCACCCACGATGCCCTGCCCAGCCCCCAACCCCTCATACCCCTCCCTCTGCCACGCCCCTCAGTCTCCACCCCCATGCACCCTGAAACCCCTCCAGAGGAGTCCATAGGGCCCCTCCCTGGGGAGCTGAAATCATAGCAACAGTTGTAATAAAGTCAGGCCTGTGCTCAGCACCCACCAACACCACCTCACTGAACCCTGACCCCAGCCCCGGACACAAGCTGCTCTCACGAGCTGCTTTCCATGTGGGACCTGGGCTGGAGGGGTGGGTGGCACACAAGGCCCAGGCCTCTGCTCTTCCTTCCTCCTGGAGTGCTCTTCCCCAGCCCCACTTGCAGAAGTCTCCTGTCCCATCCCAGATTGCCGCTTACTTGTCACCTCCTCCAGGAAGCCTTCCCTGACTGGCCTCACCACCTCTCCTTGGTGGCAGTAGCCACACTTGCATTTTTCACATCTTTTTTTTCCTGGGGGATGGGGGGCGGGCCATGTGTTGGCTGCAGGGTCCCCAGGGCCTGGTGCAGGAAGGTGGACTCAGAGGAGGTTTCATGAGTGAATGGAGAGCTAGGGAGTGAACAGCGGTTGAGCAGGAGGCTGTGGGCACTCATGTCCACCGCACTCCAGGTGGGGACCTGAGCAGGGTCGCGTGCCCACCAGTGTCCATCCCACCCCTGGGCCAGTGGGCCTGTGAGCCTGACCAGGCCCTGGCCCCAACACTGAGGGAGGCCTGGCAGTCCCACCTCCCCTCCTCCTCTGTGCTTTGGGGACACAGAGGACCGCTCCACAGCTGTGAATGACTGTGTAACACAGCAGCCATGGGGGGGTCTTGGGAAAGGCCCACATCAGGGTCACGCGTGGAGTCCAGGTGCGAGGCCGCCGGACTTGGCCCCAATTCTTCCACTTAATGTTTCCAGTGGCCTTGGGGGTGAGCACGGTCTGCAGAAGCCGGCGGGGTTCACCCGGGGCCTCTGGACTTCCCGACTCTGCGCCAGCCCCCTTGGGGCCACCTCGGGGGCTTTTGTCCCCCTCAGCCGCCAGCTCCAGCTTTCTTCTGGGCAGTCATTCAAAAGGACCCCCAGCTGTCTCACCATCAAAGCTGGGAGGACCAGGCAGCCCAGGACTTGGAAGGAGCAGGGATCGTTCTTCCATACAGAGTCTGTCTCAGTAATTCAGTTTTAAAGCATGAAAAAAGGGAGTTGATGAAATTCCACTATCAGCGCTAAGCCAATATGCAAAATATCTCACCCCCAATCAAATAGCTATTATGTTTTCATTTCCATTTTGGCGTCCGGCTTAATGAGCAGGAGACAGATCGGCTCGCGGGGCGTCTGCTTGCCGTGATAACTGAGGGGCTCCGGGCAGCGGGGGCTGCGCCCAGCGCGGGTGACCAGCATCGTCCCCGTGGATGCCTCCAGACAGGTGTTCGGCCTTGGACCCCGCTCTCCACCCCTCCGGGCAACGGGGCTGGTGTCACCCTCACCCCAGGTCACAGGGAAGGCCTGAGCAGCAGCCAGGAAGTTGCAGTGTTGGGGGGTTCTGGCCGAGGGCCTCTGTTGACTCACCTGCAAAGTGGCCACGACTGGGGCTCACCTCTGGGGCGTTGGGAGGACCCCAGGCACTTGCCCGTTGCACCTGACATCCGGGCCTGCCTCCCGCTGCTGCTCCCCATTCACACCTTCCCCACTGTCCTCCACCCCTGGGTTACGAGGCCAGGGAGGGCTTAAGGGGGAGACGTTTGTAGATGCTGAGCGCAGGGCTCAAGGACACGTGAAGCTCCATAGGAGCAGTATGCCTCCCCACCCTGGCCCCGTTTCCCAGGCCCTGCTGGGTGCAGGGTGTCAATAACTGTTAATGTTGGTGTGATGTTGATGTTGGTGATATTGGTGTTTCCTGCACACTTACTGCGTGTCAGGCCCTGATCATGGCTCCATGCAGATGAAATCAGACTTCATGATGCGGGGTTGGAGCTATTACGATTTCTGAGCGCAGAGAGGTGGAGCGACTTGCCTGAAGTCACACAGCAAGGACCCCGCCTGCCTGGCTGAGGGTTTTCCTGGCCTGGCTGCTGGGGTGTTGGGCAGAAAGGGTTCCTCAGGGATAAGCGGGGTCTTTTCTGGCCCAGGGCACTTGGAGAAGCAGCAGTGTCCCTCCGGTCAGTGGAGAAACTTTCCTGCCCCCCTGCCCCCTCAGGTGGAGTCGGGACCCAGGTGCCCAGGTGGCCCCTGGGGTGTCACGGCAGCAGGGAGGCTCCAGCAGAAGCTCCAAGGCCTCATGGGGCGGGATTCACAGCATCACATCCCATCACATCCCTCTTGTGGGCCTGGAGCCATTTGCTGGTTGGCGATTGTCTCCCGCGTTATCAGAGCATTAATTGTGCTAGAATGAATTAGCGCCATTAGGATAAATTGCTGCGGCCGGCAGCCTCTTTCTTTACGCTCCTGTCACGCTTTGTGCCAAGCGGATGCCTTTGTTCTTTCATAAATGGAGCCGCCAGGAGCTGGGGCCTCCCTGGGTGGCTGAGGCCCACCTGGGCGGGAGAGTGGGATGGGGAGAGGCAAATGCCCAACCGCAGGACTCTGGTCCCTGCAGTCCCTGAAAGCAGGAGCTTCGCACCCCTTCTCTGGAGCTGGCCACTGAGGCCAGGAAGCCCCTGCTGTCTGCACAAGGGCCCACAGCTTTGGGGGCCTCTCTCCACTCTGAGTAAGCTGCCGAAGCACCTGGACTCTAGAAAGAGGCTGGCAAATGGGCTGACCCCAGGCCTGTGTGCTGCGCCCCCCAAGGCGACCGGCAGTGCTTGCTCCAGCCAACCCCACGGGCGGGGGAGGTCACAGAGGGTCAGGCCGCCCACTCACCCCAGGGGCACGAGTCGGAGGCTCCCAGCCTGCCGTGGAGCCTCCCTTGAGGGCGCACGGAGGAGAGTGCGCCATGCCATGAGGGTTCATCCTGGGGTTGGTTCTGTGTCTGAGCCCCACGGCCACGAGAGGCGAGCCCTGGCCGGCCCACCCCCTGTCCTTACAGCTCCGTGGGGGCCTGGAGCTAGAATCCAGGGGTGCAGCTGAGCAGTGGGAGGGGAGGGGCGGGGCAGGTGTCCCGAGGAAGAGCTGGGAAGGGGGTGGGCGAGGGCCTGGGGGATTGGCGGCGGGTGAGGTGGGCCAGCTGCTCTCCACGGGTCTCGTGCCCCCTGCACAGGCACCGTCCTGACTCTGCCACCCTGGCCTGCACGTGGGGACCCCCGGCAGGTTGCTCGGGTGGTCTGGGGTCAGGCTGCCTGCTCAGCTGTCAGAAGAGCCCTGCAGGGCGCCCCCCGCCCCGCAGGAGCCTCTGAGGGAAGATGATGGGCTGGTTGCAGGCACCTTCGTGCCCACCTGTGCCTCGTTGGCCATTGCCGCTTGAATCGGGTTGACGAGCTCCTCCTGTTGTCCAGGCCCTGGGGCCCACCCTCGGCACGTCCCCGGACTTCGGAACCCTGAGTGTGGGGACTTCCTGCGGGAGGGGGCCCAGGCATGGGGGCAGCCGCGCAGAGGCCGGGGCGATGTCTCCCTTGGGGGGCCCGGTGAGCAGGCCCGGGCAGCGGGTGGCTGGGTGACCCCCAGGTGTGGGAACCGGTGCGGGGCTTGGGGTGGCTACAGGAGCGGGGTACGCGCATCCCTGGGGGACACCCTGCTCGTGGCTGCCCCCTCGAGGCCTCTGACCACGTGAGGGGCTGAGACTCCACCTGGTTCCTGCTGCGCCGGCCCCCAGGGCTGCGCCGGTTCTGACAGGGTCAGGGGGCCGGTGGTGGGTGCACTGTGAGGGGGCAGCGCCTCACGACTCCTCTGGGGCTGTGTCCGCAGGTTCCCTCGGAGATATGGAGGCCAAAGAAGAGGCCCAGGCCGCAGACTCCAGCCTTCCAGAGCGGGAGGCCACAGCGCTGGAGCCCGAGCCCGCAAGCCCTTCCAGTCCAGGTGAGTTGGGCGATGGGCCCTGCAGGCCTGGCCCTGGCCTCCTGGGCTGCCCCCCACCCTCGCCACTTCACATGAGCTGGTGCCTGCCGAGGACTCAAGTTTCCACATCTGTGAAATGGGCGTTGTGCTGAGAGGTGCCCGTGGGCCGGCCGTGCCCAGCAGGGCCAGGAGAAGGCGTGGAGGGGGTCGGGGATGGGGGTCTAGAAAGCTGGGCCCTTCATGGCGCAGATGGGGAGAGCGAGGCCCAGAGGGGGCAGGTCTAGTCCAGGCTGAGTTGGGGTCACGTGGGCTCCGAGTGACCTCCCTGACTCAGTGAAACAGAGACGCTTGCCTCAGCACATGGGCTCCCTTTACAAACGAGAGAATGAGGCCCCGAGAGGCTAAGTGATTTGCCGGGGCTCACCCTGCCTGTGAACTCCCAAACAGAATCCCACCCTAGATCTGGATTCAGATGGACTCCCGCGCTCTCTGCCAGCTACCCTCGCCACCTCACCCCACCCTGGGCACCTGGAACCTTTCCTTGGGCCCTCCTGGTGGCAGCGTCCCATGGGTTGGGGATGTGTTTCTGAAGCTGAGGACAGGACTTGGGAGGAGAGATTCCCACACACACCCAGGGGTGGATTAACTGACACCAAGGAGTCTCCTCTGGCCAGGTCCCTGGAAGGACCTCAAAGCTGGACCAGCCTCTCGGGCCAGCCACATCCTCAGATTGCCCCAGAGACCCCGAGGAGGAGGGGCCTCCCTGAGATGGAGGCCCTGGGGGAGGTCAGCACCTTCACCCCTGTTTTCCAGAAGAGGGACCTGAGACTGGGGGGCAGTTAGTAGAAGGTTTGGGGGTGGGCTCTGAGTCCTGCTCACCTCACCCCACCCCCTCTGCCCTGCTGGTCATGGGTGGAAACCTCACTCCCATCCCCACTCTGTGCCACGAAGCCTGGTGCACAGAGGCAGAGTCACCCCCAGGCCATAGTGTGATGGGGAGACAGTCACAGGACTGAGTGGTGCTGTGACCGGGAGTGAAGGCCAGATGGGTGGGGGCAGCTGTGAGCAGACCTGCAGGACATGTAGAGCTGCCCGTGCAAAGGCCCTGGGGTGGGACACAGAAGGACAGCAGGACAGCCCAGCAGGGTTGGGACTGAGAGGCAGAGATTCCAGACAGAAAGTGAGGGGGCTTCTCACTGTGGACCCCCCAGCCCCCTAAGGTGCCAGTGTTAGAGTCTCCCCGGGATAACCACAGGCCCCCAACAGGCCCCATCCTCTGAGACCTGCAGCCTGTGTGCCCTTCCCCAACGCAGCCCGTCAGGGTCCCGGCCCCTGCAGTGAGGCCAGGCCAGCAGGACTCGAACCCAGGGCCAGGGCTCCCATCATCCTCAGCTCCCCTGAGCAGAGCACAGAGCAGAGGGACACAGGCCTGGACTCTGACACTCTTGTTCGTGGCTGTTTCTGTCTCTGCCTTCATCATCTCCATCAGTCACTTAGCACTGCAGCCAGCACCCGCCCCGCCCACCCCAGCCTGGCCCCAGCCTCAGCCCTCTCTGAGCCTTGGTTTCCACATCTGTAGCTGGGCCTGAGCCCCTCAGTGGCCCAGGGCGTGGCGGGGAGCCTCTACCACCATCTCCATCACCATCAGATGCTGCGAGCTCACGGGGGCCTCGCTCTCCACAGGGCCAGTGGCTGGTTCCTGGTGGACTTTGCCCCTGGGAGCCAGGTCCCTTATCTGATCTGGGAGCTGGGCTGCATGGAGTGGGGGCGGTCCCGGGGAGGAGCTGGAAAAAACAGTCGGGGTTGCACCTGGCACAAACTGCGGTGATAACGCGCTGATGGGCGCGATAAGGCGGCAGGAGCAATGTCTGCCTGTCGGGCAGGCCCAGCGTGGCTCCCGCGCAGTGGCTGGAGCTCAGATGCCAGCCACGTTGATTTATAGCCAAAAATAATAGGACTTTTATACCGTGTGATTGATTTATTTGATGTTAATCACAGCCCTTATCGCGGTATTAATAATCTGCCGGGTGCGTGACGTCACCAGCGGAGGGGCTTTTATGGGACCTCATTGATTGGGGGCCGCGGTGGTTATCGGTCCAGCAGGGAAGGCAAATATGCCCTTTGGGCTGGAATTGGGTGCGGGGCTTGGCAGAGGGGCCTCCAGCTGCCAGCGAGGAGACCGGGAGCCGGGCTGCGCGTGTGCCCGCTGGCCTGGGCGTGCCGAGAGGCCATCCACACTCTAATTATTAACAGCAGTGGGGAGGGCACCTATCACTGCTGCAGTTAATGAGGGGCTGAGGGTTTTTTTTTTTAAGGCCAGGGGGGCAAAACTGAGATGTGTGATCGCACCCCCAGTTTGAAGAAGCTGGGGTGAGGGGGCCACTGTGGCCACACGCTCACCCACCTGGCTTCAGTATCCCTCTCAGCCGCGGGCCAGGGTGGGCAGACACCTTGGTGTCCTGAGGCTCCAGGGAACCTACTGGTCTCCTTTCCGCAGACTCTAATCCTCCACCCCCTCCACTGCCGCCGGCCCCCACTTCTCCAGGAGGCCCTGAGGAGCCGGAGCATCGGGAGCCAGAGATGAGGCCGGAGGAGGAAGCAGCCAGCAGCCCCTGGAGCGGGCCAGGTAAGTGTGCCTGCAGCCGGGTCCGGCAGCGTCACCTCACAGGCGGCCCTGGGACCCAGCCAGTGGGGTGTCCTGAGAAACGGCCAGCTGACGGCGCGGCGTGGGGCACGGTGGCCAGGAGGTGGGCGGTGAGCTGTTGGGCCCAAACCTGGCGGCTATTCCAAAGTCCAGCCGGCCTGTGGGTCCGCAGGTTCCCTGGAGGGGGCACCTAGCTGTGCTGACGCTCAGAGCTAAACCAGGCCCGCGCAGTGGATGGGCATCTGAGGGTTCCTTAGAGGCAGGGTGTGGTCTGGCTGGGACAGCGGAGCAGCCGTAAGACGGGAAGGGCATCCGCCAGGCGGGAGCAGCAGGGACAAGGCAGGGTGGCAGGGGTGTGGATCTGGAACTGGCCGCGTGCCAGGCTCTCGCCAGCCAGTAAGGGGCTCCGGCTTCGGGGGGCGGGAGGGACAGGAGACAGGAGGCGGCTCCAGCCCCCGGGTTCCTGTACGAAGGGCGTGTCTTTGAAGCGGTTCTGTGCCTCCCAGCACTGCCCCACCCCACCCCACCCCGTTTGTAGCTGGAACTGTGAGCTCGGGGCCCACTAGGCTCTCCCTGAGGCACCCCATTTCCACCGGCTTGAGTTGCAGGCGGGCTGGGCGCGTCACCTGTTGCTGTGATTCCTAATCGGAGCTGATGGGCTCACCCAGCACAGTGCAGCTGGCCGTCCGGGCCCCATGTGGGGGCCGCTAGGTGAGGGCGGACGGGCGTGGCCCTGGTGAACACAGGGCCTGGACAGAGGCCGCACTCCCAGGCCAGGCGCGTGGCCACATAGCAAGCACGTACTGAGCACCTGCTGTGTACCGGACGTCAGCTCTGAACAGACAGGCTCCTGGGGAACTGTGACACCAGGCAGCCAGCAGTGTGGGGAGGGAGGTCGCAGGGGACGTACAGCGAGGGCCTCAGCTTGTGGGGGCCGGGATGACCTCACCCGGGCAGAGAGGACCGCCGTGGTCTCCCAGGGGTGTTAGAGATGCTCTCCTGCAGTTCAGTTCTAGTAGCCCTGTGAACCTCGTTGTGATCCCGAGGTGCCAGTGAGACAGTGCTGGATTGATTAGTGGTGTCTGCAGGGCACCAAAGAGATGAGGGCTAGTGTGTTTTCCGGGCTCCCTGCTGTCTTCACACACCTCTTTCTGCTGTATGTGCACTTCTGAGGCCCAGAGAGGGCAGGGTTGGCCATTGGTCACAACCAGGATGGGGACCGCGACCACAGACTCAAGGCCAGGGGCAAGTCAGTCCACTGAGAGCATGGGCGGGCTGTGGAGCACCCTGGGTCAGACAGGCTGGGGCCCCCGTGCTAGCCCAGGACGGGAAGGGGCGTTAGCACAGCCACTCTGCTGCCGTCAGGACTCGGCTGCCCCTACGTCACCCTGGTGACCCAGTGACAGGCGGGGAGGGGCCCCGGGAGCCCTGGCCAGCTGTACCCACAGCGCACGGAGCACCTGGCCAGGGACAGGCCTCAGGCCACGTGTCTGTGCAGCCCGCACCACCGGTCAGGCACAGCTGAGCTGGACACTCCCCTGCAGGGCCAGGCCTCTCCACACACAGGGGACAGAGCCGTGGGGCTGGGGCCGACCCTGCTGCCCCATTTTCCCTGGGTCTAGGACGAGGTAACAGCAAGGCACCTACAGACTCCAAGTTAGCCCTGCCTTGGCCCCATGGCTCCCACACTGCAGGGTGGTCCAGGGACCACCACCAGTCCAAGGATTCGACCCTGGGCAGGCGGAGGCTGACTGCAGTCTGGAGCGTGACTGCAGAGATGAAGGGGCCGGGCCATCCTCACACCAACCCCTGAGGCAGGCGCAGAGCAGCCCTGGGGCTGGTCCACGTCACCGCCCGGAGGCAGCACACCAGACTCCAGCCTTGGAGCTCTGGCTGTGCATGTGTGGACGCCGGCCCAGCTGTCCTGCGTTGGCCCCTGCCCACCATGCGGCCTTCTTAGCATCCGCATCCATGTTCTACGGACAGGAAGGCAGAGGCCCCTGGAGATCAGGGCCTGGCCTCAGGGTGGCTGTGGGGGCCGTGGCTCGGGTGGGTGCACTCAGGAGCTTCCTGCGCTATTTGCATCTTCAGGGGGCCATGGGGGGGCTCCCTGTCAGCCCCCACAGATAGGAATTTCTGTGTAGTGGGCAGCGATGAGCCGATAAGCGGTTGCTGGCCAACCGCCGTGGTGGCCGTCCTCTATCAGACCCCAAACAGGCCACAGTTATCGCCTGGCCGGGAAGCCAGAGAGGCCCCGTGGGCTCTTATCTTGTAGGGGCCGCCCCACTGGTGATGGGAGGCAGGCCTTGCCGGGGCCAGCTGGATCGGCATCCCCAAGGGCAGCGCCTGGCCCAGGGACTGGCCAACCAAGGGAAAGGGGTGTGCAGCCAAGCCTTCGCCAGGTCCTGGTGCCCTGGTGGTTCCCTGGCCCCCCCACACAGTCCCTCTGACCCCTTCCCCATCTGAGGATCTCTTGAAATCCAGTTCCTCCTGCCCCATCCCACGTGAGGACTGCCACCCTGGGGACCTGGCTTGTCAGGCCAGGGATGGTGGGGGGGGTGCCCTACCTTTCCTTCTGGGATGGAGGCACCAGCCAGCCGGGACCACGTGCACCACTGAGCCTCGGTTTCCTGTGTGAGGCCCAGGGCTCGCACACATCTGGTGCGGCCCTGGCAGGGGGTGGCCCCCCACCCCTCGCCTTCCTGGCTACTGTCTTCTGCTGGCCAGGACAGCTCCTGGGTCAGACCCATGCCAGGGGGAGCGCTGAGACCGCAAGGTCCCAGGGCAGGTAAGTCGACCCGGCAGAGAGGCTGGGCCACATGCCTCTCTTCAGCCACACGTGGGTCTGGTGCAGCTGCCCTTCCTGCAGGGGTCCAGGCCCTGAGCAGAGACCCCAGGAAATACCCCCACCCCAGGCAGAAGAGAGGCCTTCCAGCCCCTCCTCCCCGGGGGCCCTGGACACGCGCCACACACACAGTGAAATCTGGGCCACAGGGTGTTTGAGGGGTCTGTCAGCTCCAGCCTCGTTACTGCCCCCATGCCAACCCCCCGCCACCCCACCACGACCCCAGAGCTCCAGAAACAGGTGGGGAGGCACTCAGGATGTCACTTCACTTCAGACGTCAAGAGCGTCGTCAGCTGCCAGCGGCTAGTTCTCAAGTGCAACTGCTTCAAGCAGGAACCCCATCCAGCCCCTGCTGTGCTGAGAGGCCGGAAGCTGCCTGCCCAGGCCTGGGGCCAGCTTTGCTGAGCGACTGTAGCAGGTTGCCTGACTTCTCTGGGCTTGGTTTCCTCGCCTTTATAAGCACGCAGAGTAGAGCCAGCTCCCCACTCAGTGCCGGCAGTCTGCCGGGACGGCCCGGGCCTCTCTGGGTCAGGGGGGGTCTGGGGGAGAAGCCGCTATGTGAGACCACGAAGCAGGGAGGAGCCCCTGCTGGTAACGGGCACCTTGACCAGGGGTCCCCGCTGACCGTCAGGAGCCCGGGGTCCTGGCTGGGTCCGCAGAGAAGTCGCTCCCCTCCTCCAAGCGGCAGGGGCAGCAGCCCTGGGGTGAGACTGGTGCGGAGGCCATACCAGCTTGGGCAGGGGCACCCCCATCCTCATGGAGCCCAAACACCGCCAGCCCCGTGGACTGTCTGGGAGGGGAGGGTCCTTGCCAGAAAAGTAACCCCAACACTGAGGTCAGCAGGTCCATGTGGATATGGGAGAGGAGAGTGCCCACCGGAGACACAGCCCACGTCCCTTGGGGCTGCCACTGGGAGAGTGAGTGAGAGCAGAGCAGGGGACCCACCCCGGCCTTGAGCCTGTGGGGCGGCTGCAGCCCGCAGTGGGGAGGGGGTGTTGGGCAGGGGGCTGCCCTGCCTGGTACTGTCCTCATCTCCTGGTGAGCCACCAGCCCCAGTGAGAGGGGAGAGGAGAGGGGCGGATGGCAGGGTGTTTTTATCTTTGAAATGACCTTGTTTGTGCAAGGGGCTGGCTGTTTAGAGTGCCGATATGCAGATGGCTGGGAGCTATAATCTGAAATCCCCACCTCGCATCTGTGACGGCCCTGCCCTACCTCTGCTCCGCGGCCCCAGTGACGGGCTCCCCTTTGCCTCCCCAGTTACCGTGCACACAGACAAGCAGGGGGCTCGGTACACAGGCAGCCCCAGGCAGGGCTGCGAGCCCTGAGGGTCCCCTTCAAATGTGGAGGGTCCTGGCCCTATCACCCGCCTCGTGGCCCCCGTCACAGTGGCGTTTGGCATGACCTCAGCCTCCTGGCCGGGGCATGGGCTGCGCTGGGTTTGGGCCCCCAGGGACCTGAGAGCCTCCTCTGCAGCCAGACCTTGTGGGGGGTCCCCTCCCCCCAGGGACTTGCCTGGGGCAGACCAGGTGAGCACTTCCCATCCAGTGCTCTGCATGCCTATCTGGGAGGCAGCATGCTCCAGACACCCCTGAGTGCAGGGCTGTCCACCTCAGGGGCAGTGAGTAGCTGGGGAGCGAAGGAGTGAACCTAGGGGACCCCAGGGCTCCCCACCAGCTCTGGTGGCTAGTCAGGTGGCCCTGAGCATGGCCTGGGCTCCACAGATGGCCAGGCCCGTGACCTGACAGTGTGGTCAGAGCCCCAGGAACAGGGTCCCTTCACCTGTAAGTGTATCAGGGCCTGGAGCTCCCCTGGTGACCTCTGTTTACAAGACAAAATTCAGATGACCAAACAGAGGTGTCACCTTCTTGGTTCTCAGCTTCATCCCAGGCCCTCGAGGCCGAAATGGGAAGGCTGGCCACGTCCCCACCACACTGCAGGTCAGCAGAGGGGACAGCCAGCTTGTCAGGCCATGATAGCACCATAGGTGTACCCCACCCCCAAGGTGCAGCCTAAAGAATACATTGGAGTGGGCCAAGGGTGTTCAGGTGAGGAGCGGGCAGTGCAAATGCCCTGAGGTTTGGACAGCATGGGCGCAGCTGGAGCGGGGTTGGGGAGAGACAGGACAGGCCACAGATAG